ATAAACCGGTAAATATTTCTTCCTCAGTTTTGTCTATGTGCTCCTGAGAACTGGACTACTTAGTTTTATCTGACTGGGCTCAGAACTGGCCCTTGACCAAGCTCTGGGGATTAGGAATTACACATCTTTACAAATGCATTTCTCCTAGTCTTCACAATCTAACACCGTGCCTCTTTCAGGCCAAGCACATGCTTCCTTCATGTTATCTCACTATAACACTAATTTGTACTCTTTAGTGGGCATAATTTCATCAGGAATTTTCTGGAAAAGTAGTAGTCACTTGGGCTTTCGATATGGAAAAGATGGTTCATTTGAAAAGTAATTGAAAACAAAAAGCAAATAAAGCCTCATGAGCAGATCATTTGTCTTGTTTGTCTAAAAGAAGGATACATTTATTGTATGCAGGGCTCATCCTTCCTTCAGTTCTCTACTTTGCAGTTAAGCAGTTCTGGCTTTTTTAAATTATTATTCTTTAATAGAGACAGGTCTTTATATGATACCCAGGCTGTTGTCAAAGTGGGTTCAAGCAATCCTCCCACCTCAGCTTCCCAACATGCTGAAATTATATGTGTGAGCCACTGCGCCTGGTGCAGTGCTGGCTTTTTAATTGCATGACTTGATAAAATTATCAAGAAGCTAAGGTACTGTCCAAACAAGCTGCCATTCTCTTTCATGTAAGTACACATTAAAAAACTGATTTTCAAAATGTAAGCTTTCTTCCCTCTACTTGTGGAGAAAATGAAAATGAAGGTTTACAATGATAATTTCATATCTTTCTGAAGTCAGTTTCATTTCTTTTTTCACTTCTTCTTCTTCTTCTTCGTTCCTCTTACTATTTCCCTCTCTTGGGAGACTAAACATTTATTAATTTTACAAAAATTGACTTGTTAAAGCCAAATTTTTCATGTTTTAGACATTCTAAAATACCTACATTGGTTTTATGAAGTGTTACCACTGTTTCTAAAATGTCTTTAAAATTAAAATTTATATGTAAAAATATATTCAACTAAATAGAATGATAATAAGGGATATTTTTAAAGGGGTCCTTCACCAATATTCTTGGTTCTCTTTAAGTTTTCACTGTCACCATATATGCCTCAAACTTCCCTATGTGAAATGTAAAAATATAAAGGTCAAAAATACATATCTGTTCCAATTCCATTTGTAATGTGAGCCAGCTTGTCAGCATTTTTATGAATGAAAAAAGTAATAACTTTTGAAGACTATTTCCTAATCATGTATCAAAGTATAAGCAGACTAGTAGGTGCCAAGAAATGCACTGGTCCAAATTGTGGAAAAATCTCCATCCTTTGATACTTTTTCTCCTGGTGGCCTGCTGGCCATGTCCTCCCATCTCCTTAGTGACATCGCTTCCTCTGCCAATCAATTAAATCTCATAAATCCTCCATCAGCTGACGATCTTCTGGACATTTGTCTATACATGTATACATTCTCCCTGGATTATTTGATCCACTCTGGCCATTCCTAGTCATGACTTTCATATTCATATTTCCAGGCCAGACTTCCTTTCTAGATTTAGATTCAAAACTAGCTGCAGGTATTGTGTTTTGACCCCCATGCCTTTGTGCATGTTGCCTCACATCCTGATTTACACCTAGACCTATCTCAGGTGTTACCTTTCCTACCAGCCAGTATTCCTACCAGACTGAGTGACAAGGGACCCCCCCATCCTGTTTCTATAAATCTGAGCATCTCCTTCTATTTTAATGCGTATTTTATTATCTTCCTTTTGAGTGTGTGTTCCACAATAGTAAATCTCTTGACATCTGGTTACTAACCAGAGGTGCAACACATAATATTGTTCAATAAATTATTGAACAAAAATATTCCATTTTAGTGTATGGGTGCACTTAACAAACTGTTAATTCTAAACTAGGCTGTCTTCAGGGGAAAAAATTAAAATACAAGGTTCACAAGCTTTCTTTTTTGTTATACATTGAATTGTGGATATTCTGTCATTAGCAAAAGTAATGAAATTATTATGGTTTGCTATCACAAAAGTCACAGGATTGCTAGAATGCAGTATGTTTACCTATTTTATAAGTTCCATAACTACTGCTACTTATTCTAAATCCATTTTCACAAAGAATTAAGAATTGCTATTCACTGAGTCTGTTTTTATACAGGAAACTTAGTGCCCTCATTCACATTATCTCATTGAATCCTCCTCAAAACCCACTGAAGTAAGTTAGAATTATATCTATTTCAGAGATGAAATTGAGGTTTAAAGAGACAGAGTAATGTTTCCAAAGTCAGATGGCTAGTAAAGAACAGAGTGGATTTGAACTTAAGTCTCATTCCAGGCAGTTTGAGTTCTTAAACACCATGGTATACAACCTTCCAACCACTGAAAGGGACTTTGTGAAGAGCCTGCATATACCATGCCAGTCATCACCAATTATGGGGCCTGACTAAACCTTTTGATTGCAGGCAGACAAAACTAAACAGACCAGTCCTCAGGGACACAAAGGCAAGACTGGCCCTGCAGGAAAAACAAAGATCAAACAAATCCTGGCCAAGCCATAGCCTGCCACAGTGAATGGCTTATCTCGGCAGGAAAGAGTATGTGTGTGTCTGTAAATAAAACTATGGGTCATAAATCTGCTATAAACCAGAATGTAGTTCCTATCAGTTGTTGTCCTAAGTCTTCTTTCATATGGCCTTGTACTTGAAGAAATATTGGCCTTTTAAGTGAACAACCATACACTGGCAAGAACTACTGTTTATTCACAAGGATCATAGGCTGAGGTGAGTTTGCAGAGGGTATGCGTTTCTAACTGCCAATAAATTATTCAGGTTTTAAAAAAAACCTCAAAAAACAGAAATGAGGAGTATTTGAGGAAATTCTAAGAATCTCTAGGGTAATTATTATATTTTCTATCTTGTCTATGTTGCTCTTCACATAACTGGTTAGACAGATTCATGTGAATCTTCCAAGGGTAAGAAAAAAGTACTTTTTTCTTTAAAAACGTCTTAATGGTCCCTGTCCTTATTTTTTCATTATTTTGGTAATAATCTCTCAGATGCCTCATATCCTTAAGAAATTAGACTCAAATGTCAAAAACAACTATATATATATATATATATATGTTTATATAGTTGTTTTTGACATTTGAGTCTATATATATATATATATTCTCCACCCCCCCCCC